CACAGCAGAGTTCTGTAAACTCAGATAGACTTGAGTTTTTTCAGCTTTAAATCTTTGAACTTTCTCATTGCTGTCATCAGCTGTCAATCAAAACAAAGATGGTGGGCGGGCTCTTTGAGGTGTGCTCCTTTCCTGTAGTCCTGATGTGTTGACTTTGTGGAGGTGGAGCTGCAGTGGTGGAGGATCTGGCTGCTCCTGGTCATTTGTTTCTTCACCTGAACTGACTTTTGTCCACATGAAAACCTGAACAGAGTTTGGTGTTTGTTCATTTCCTTCTTTTCCTGCAGCTGAAGCTTCAACAGAGAAATCAGCAGAACTTCCTTCATCAGTGAGGTTTTAAAAAACACAACTCTATCATCAGCATAGAAGCTGTGTCCAGTTTTTCTACATCAGTGTCAACAGTTTTCTTCTTTGGTTCAACTGTAATGATGGTGATGATCTTCAGTCAGGAGCTGATTGGTTCTTTTTCTTTTCCTCACGTCAGATGGACGTGAAACAAAGTCAATGTCTTCATGAAATCACTGAACAATAAAGATGGAGATCAAGTCAATACATGTGGGGGGTTTTCTCTTCATTCAAACTCACTCTTCAATGTCAGTCGTTGAAAAAGTATCTTCTCAAATGTAGTTTGAGTTTTTCTGGTTCCTCTGACTTGAAATATTTTGGGTTTGTAGACAAACAGATTATTATTGAATTGAAGATGTGGTCTCTCTGAGGTCCTGGAACCACAGGTTGATGGACAACAGTGATAACTGGACTAAGAATGTGTGTGTTGTCTGTGTGTGAACATGATAGGTGCCAAGGAGATTGATATCGCTGCCACCCTGGAACACCTCCGAGACCAGAGGCCTGGAATGGTTCAGACCAAGGTGAGAAAAAACGGTCTTCATAATTCTGGTCTAGCTTTAACCTGGTTTCCTCAGAGCCGATGGTCTTCTGGTCTGCCCCCCCTTGGTCCCTCTACCCAGGTGTTTACCCACATGAACAGCAGTTATATAGACAGTGAGGTGAACCTGCTGCAGATCCAGACTCAGAAGGTCTTCAGTCAGACTCCAGACCTTCTCAGAACAGGGTTCCGACAGAGGAACCTTGAAAATAATTTATTCAAATTAATTTTTGTTCCATTTTCTTCCTCCATCACAGGATCAGTTTGAGTTTGCCCTGACGGCCGTGGCAGAGGAGGTGAACGCCATCCTGAAGGTTCTACCACAGTAGGAAGGAGCACCTCCTGCTGTGATCTCCTTCTGCTCCTCCTCTCTGCTCCCCTGGCTCCTCTGTCCTAACTGGAGTTTTCTCAGATTCTTCTTCTCTTTGCCTTCATTTGTTTTTGTCCTTCGATGATTCCTCATTCAACTTCCTGCTTCCTTCAGGGGGGAGGGCGGTGTTTACCTCGTCTCCGTATGTTACGTCATCATCACATGTCCCACTCACCCAGTCTGTTCAGTTTGGTTCAGTTCTGTTACCGGTTCTGTTTTACCGACTGTCCCAAGTTAACAAGGGGTCGAATTGAGTTTAAGCAGGAACAGAAACAGCTGCTGAAGGACGACTTTCTTGGTCCCTTCAGCTCATGGTCCACACTGTGGTCTGACACTCTTGGGAGTCAGAAATCTGGTGGATTTAAACCTGCAACTTTCTGCGTCAAGGGCTTGAATCCCACCACTGCAGCGGTCTAATAGAGGAATAGCAAATATTTCCAAAAATATCTTTAAACTTTAGCAGTAGAGAGCCACCACTGGCCCCAGACCCAGACTTTGGACAAACCTGTTTATTGTCATATTTAAACCCAAAATTATTGTTTGCTTTGGTCCAAACCAAGCTGAAAATGATTTAAGAGACAGTCCTGGGTTCAGTTCCACGTAGGACTGTTGCTGTGGTCCGTGGTGAAGTAGAGAACCAGGTGTTCTGACAGTTTTCACAAACAGACCTGGACGCGTTGGTCTTGGACATTGTCTGTGTGGACGTTTCTGGTCCTGTTTTTGTCACTTTGTGCTGATACTTAACTTTATGCTGTGGTGTAACCTATTAGCTCCCCCTGTTGGCCACTAAGGAATCTGTGTTTTATATGGAACAGAGTATAAAAGTAGACATAACATTTTCAAAAGCTTGAAGTGTAAATATAACCAAATACCGTGGATGTGACGTTTTTCTTCCTTCCTAGGTGTAATGTTAGCATTCTAACAGTAGGTGGCTTTCCTCAAAGTGATTCGTCATCGTTCTGGCTGTCATTGCAGTGACACTTGTGTCAGATGTATTTTGGGATAAACATGTAATGAGCTGTTCAGATTCAGTCTGAGAAAAGACAGAGGTCCTCAGAAGATCTGAGGTTCCTTCACTCACACTTTGACAAATATGTGCAGATGTTGTTGCCTGAACTGGAGGCATCTTCAGTGCAGTCTTCATCCCATCAAAGTTCTATAGTTGTCTGGTTTCATTAAGTCTAGATTTGCTCCTTAGATTCTTTCATTTTCCAATTCCAAATTCATCATTTAATCTTCAGGCCAGGCAGCTCTGGGTGAATTTCTACAAGTTTGGAAAAATATTCAAAAATACTCAAATGAATTGAACCTCACGCTGAGTTTCATTAATGCAAAGACAGTTTTGTGCAAACATTGGTACAGATGGTCACAATGCTGCTATAGTGTGCTGTACCATAGTCAGCCACCAGGGGGCTTTAGAGTTCACCTGCTAGTTGACGCTGAAGGAGATTTTGTTCATTTTCCTAAACTGTTGGGACCTAGACCAGGGGTCACCAACCTTTTAGAAACTGAGCGTACTTCAGGGTCGTCAGTAATACGAAGAGCGACCTGTTTGACACCGACTTCTCCAACAATGTAATACTAGTTAAAAAGAAACGTTCTGCTGCTCCGTCCAGTTCTGGGGCCTCCAGTAACAGTACAGTTTTCGACCCTCTTGTTGACTAGTTCTATTTTTAGAACGTAGCCCACGGAGACCTTGTGAACCGCTGACGACAGTTGAATCAAGTTGGCGACGTAGACGTCGGTGAGTCTCCATGTCAACTCTCACACGTTAATGACCATAAGATTTGATGAAACCATAACAACGAGGATGACATTTAAAATGAAAAGGTGTCGACGGAACAGTCGTGTTCTAATGTTCTGTGGTTTGTTTGTTTTAGATTGTATTTTGAGCAAATATTCTCCACGTCCTGCTCGTCCTTTAACATGTTTCACTGGCTATCAGTAACCGCCAGACTGTGGCGCTAGCACTCTGTCCAGAAACTAAAATATAAAAACAACGGAAGATATTTTGTCCTATTGGTGTAGAGATCTTGTGAATAAAGTATCATTGTGAATGCAGTATTACTTCCTGACGCTGGCTCATGACATTTGTCTCTACAAATGACTTTTGTTTTTACCAATAACACAGGATGTTATGCACGAACCGTGTACAAATATTATATATATTATTTAGCGGTTGCTCGGGCAAAACCTAGCTCAAGAAGCAGCTGGTTTAGAAATAGTTAATTGGTAAACAATGGATGAAATACTTACATTTTGTCATGAAGTTTAAAACCCTAAAAATGAAAACTTTTCTTAACCCTTTTTTAAAAAATATGCATATTTAATAGCCTATGTTATTGTTATAGTATTTCAAGGTTCCACTAGGTGACCTTTCACGCACTTTATTATATTATGACTCTACCTGAATATGATAATTTTATTTTGAAGGACATCGCTTGACAGGAAACAAGCATTACGGACTTCCTGCTAGGTGTACGTATTTACTTTAATTTTATGCGATGGTTAACGGTTCCTCGGCAGATTTACCGCCATCACGGGCGCCGTTCTTCCCCGTATCGAGGAGCTGTGTGATCCGGTATTATATCACGTCATCGATTAAAAGTATTTTCCATCAATAACTTGAAAAATGTCATTCATTTTAACTGTGAATACAGCAAATGGTATATATAAATATAAAAAAATAACTTATAGAATGCAGTTCATTTGTGATAGCGCGTCCCCATAAAACTTTTTATCCAAGATAGAATGCAGTTCATTTGTGACAGCGCGTCCCCATAAAACTTTTTATCCAATGAGCAGGTGTCAAAAACATTCACCGTCATAGTTAGCCAAAAAATAAAAATAAAGTGGCTTTGTGTATTATACATAAATATTAATCTGAAGTTTTCTTTTTTTTTTTACTTTTGTCTCAACATTCTACAGGTTCCGAGATGCCGGTCACTAAACTCCCTCGGTCCGACCACGTCAAAGAGACGGACGGAGAAAAGAGCTACACCTACCTGAAAGATGGGGACGTGGTCCTTAAATAAGTTGAAAAGAGCCAAAAGATTTAGCCAAAAGTCTAATTAAAGTTATTGTCGAGTTATATTGAGAGCCGTTAAAACAAGGTTGTTAGCTGAAATGTTGCTAAGCTCTGGGGTACCAGTCGTGGGAGTCTCACCCGTGGAGGGGGGGCGTGGGTGTCCCCACATCCACACTTTTTCAGCAAGGTGATTTAAACCCGCCACACTTTTTCTTAACGTGTTAAACGGGCCCCGCCCGGGCAGTGTAGCAGCGTACTGAAATGGAACGCACCTCAGTCCTCTAGACGTTAAAACTCATTGGTCAAGTAAGATTGATTGACAGCCAGGCAGCCAATCACAACCATTTGACTAAACCCAACTCGAAAAGTAAACAGTTACTTGCTAACACGGAGCTGCTGTCACTTCCTGCCGCTGAAAGTGAACCGAGCGAAAGTATGAAACGGTTATTTAACTAGTTAGAAGCTAGAATATTCTCTGTAAATAACTAAACTATGTCTTGCTCTGTGACGTGTCATCTAATAATAAGAAAACCAGGTCGCAAACAAAGTTAATGCTTAGCCCAGTGAAGTTAATAGTAACTGATAGTTTTCTAGAACCATCCACTGATTTTGATATTATTAAACATTATCATTGTTCTTTTTGTTAGGAATACCGAAAGAAGAGGAAGAGGCAGCAGAAGATGGACTTCCTTTTCAAGTCAGGTTGTCATGTAAGTTGACTTATGTAACAGAAAGCTGTCAATCCATGACTGCACAAATTCAGTTTCATTGTAGAACATAGTGTTTTGTAGCATTAATGCTGTGTATGTGTTTACGTAACTTAAAGCTATGTGTTAGAGCCCCTTCATCGACTCACCCCCGTTACTGCTTTGAGAAACTAGAAAAGAATCGAAATTAAGAGAAATTAAATGTAAAAAAAATAAATTAATTCGTCCCAGCCCCCGAGAAATGTACTATTAATTAATTAAAGTCCACCCATCTAAACATCAGAAACATAGAGCAGTGACACACAACAACGCCAACAAATATATATTTCTTTTAGATTTTATTTTTTTAGTCAGTACCAAATAATCCGATAGAAATCAGAATTTAAGTCCAGTCAGGTAAAACAATATGTATTGATATTAATACTAATAATTAAGAAAACATTTTAAATCATTGTTATAAAATGGGTAAAATAACCAAGAGGGACAATGAGGGAGACAGCGCCACGCAGCGGTAGGAGAAGGATGTTGCAGCACGAGCTGAACTGCTGATGCAGTTTCAGCACAGTCACTGCATCACTGTGATATGTGAACCTGTATCTACGTCACACAACAACGCCAACAAATATATATTTCTTTTAGATTTTATTTTTTTTAGTCAGTACCAAATAATCCGATAGAAATCAGAATTTAAGTCCAGTCAGGTAAAACAATGTTCTTTTTCAAATCATCAAATCCAATACTTTTGATGAACGTTGATTTAACATAATATAACATCTTTAATTCTAGTCTTGTCTTTACTTTATAACAAAAACAGACGTAGATGAAGTTGAAGAAAAGACCAATGGCAGCAGTGTTTGGTTCAGGATTTATTTCGTGACCAGTTCAGTTCAGGACCATCTGTCCAGACCTGTCCAGACTTTATCAGACAATGAAACAGTGATTGATGAATGATGATCTAACGGACCATCAGCACACGTTAGCGAGCAGTTTGGCGGTTGTTCTGATGTGAACAGTCCAAACACGAAGGTGATTTTTATTTATTTTTTTATCTGTGATCGTTGGTGCCCGACTTCCTCTTCCCCGACAGCAGATGTTTGGGTTTGAGGTCGTACACGTGTCGGTCCGACTCGCCCTTCCTGCCCTGACGGTTCATGTCCTTCTGTGATGACTTCATCATTTTCTTTGTCTTCTTCACCATCTGAGGGAAAAAAAAAAACAAAAATCCCTGTGAGTTGTTTCCACAGAAATAAAAACTACACGAGGGATTTGATTTTTCACTTTCCAACAAACCAACGTCTTCCACACTCGTCACCACATCTCTCACCTTTGTGTCTCGTAATCCAGACTGGTCTCGTGGTGGACGGGAAGCGCTCTGGCTGCGGGTCTTGGAAGTGGGTGGAGCTGAGGCCTCGCGTTTGCGTTTCTTAGCTACACTGCGGGAACGACGGGCCTGTTGAACGTAGTGACTCTGAGGGGAAAAAAAAAACATTCACAAAGGAACAGATTATTGAATCTGGAATGAGAGAAACAGTGAACCATTCTAAAAGTTTATACTTTCATTTTGGCTAACGATTAA